GGATAAAGTATACAAATCTCCAGTTTGTGAAAGACTCAATATCAAATAATTCTCTGTGTGGCACCCGACCACGTCTCCTGACAAAGACATCCTATTTTAATTCTTGTTCTAACCATATGTGAATGACCATAAAGGTTTCACGGGCTGCGACAAGCAACAGATGTTGGTCATACTTTTACAGTGTTGATTAGAGATTTACAGTGTTGATCTGGGAGTATAATTATATCAACTCGGCCTAAACTCATTTTATGATCTCTACATCCAAGTAAGCCATGGCACCTACACACACACAAACACACACACACACACTTTGCGCTCCTCGGGGAGTTTTGCCATCGATTGCCAGCGTTTTTCACGATTTTACATAAATTACAGCAGATTTTGTGAATGTAAAATTTGAAGTTTTCTTTACACATAAATAAAAACCGGGTTTCTTTTAATCTCCCGCAGTTGCTTATTTACAACAAGAATTACTGACAACCAACTAGTCTGTAAATTATATTGTTGTCATGCACTTGGATGTTGTATTTACTTGATTGCGTGTTTACTGTGATGGTTTTATGGTCTTCGGAATTGTTCATCTGTGGGGGGACTGTTTGTAGAGCTTAACGTGTAGATTTTCTTTGGAGAAAGCCTACAAATGTAGAGGATTAGGAATTTACGGCACTGTCCGGACTGGTATAATTATGGAGTTTCGTTGTGAGTCGGTTCATTCGGGGACTTCTTTATTGGTACGTTGTGTTGTGGTTTACAGCTAGGGTGAGGCAACTCACGTTATAGATAGATCTCAGACAACTGTAGATAGTTCTTTGTAGGGGAGACCGTGCCTTTCTAGGTGGGTGTAGGTTAAAATGTAAGGGTTAGTAGGGGTGACAGGATCAGCCATTGGGGTGGATCGCGGGATCGGTCATTAGGGCGGATCGTGGGGTCGGTCATTAGACATGTCTACCAGCCACATTTGAACAGTTCTGGACACGTCATTCAATCGTAGCAATAGTGAAGGTGTGAATGGCGCCAGTAGTAATGTTTTGTTGTAAGTACTACTAGTGGTAGTAGTGGTGGTTGTAGTAGTTGGAGTTGTAACAATGGTAGTACACGTTTACTAGTAGCAGTAGTTGTCATAGCAATGGTAGTAGTAGCAGTAGTTGTCGTCGTCGTCATAGTAGTAGCAGTAGTAGTAGTAGTTGTTGTGATTGGTTAGAAGTAGTAGTAGAAGTCGTAGCAATGATGGTGCTAAACATCAGTAGCGTGATGCTAGTAGTAGTAGCAGCAGTAGTTGCAACAGGAGTCGTAACAGTAATAGCACGTACTGAGTAGCAGTAGTAGTAGTAGTAGTAGTAGTAGTAGTAGTAGTAGTAGTAGTAGTAGTAGTAGTAGTAGTAGTAGTAGTAGTAGTAGTAGTAGTAGTAGTAGTAGTAGTAGTAGTTGTTGTTGTTGTTGTTGTTGTGATTGGTTAGAAGTAGTAGAAGAAGTCGTAGCAATGGTGGTGCTAAATATCAGTAGCGTGATGCTAGTAGTAGTAGCAGCAGTAGTTGCAACAGCAGTCGTAACAGTAATAGCACGTACTGAGTAGTAGTAGTAGTAGTAACAGTAGCAGTAGCAGTAGTGGTATCAGCAGCAGCAGTAGCGGTAATAATTGTAGTAGCGGTAGTGGTAGCAGCAACAGCAGTATTGGTAGTAATAGTAGATTGCGAGATGCTGATAAATAGACCAGACTAATTCTATTTTTGTTTGTCTATACATTTATTCGTGCAGAATGTGTAATATGTGTTACTGTATACATCTATCAACGTCTTATTTTCATACAGTTTAAAACTGTATGTTGACTGTAAATCTATTATTCTGTAACTGTTTTTATGTTGGGGGATGAAGTTGAAACGGTGAGAAAGGGGGTTTAAAAAAAAAGAGGTTTGGGAGTAAACTAGCTTATTAACATGTCGGTAGATCTCTTAATTTTTTCCATAAATCTATTCATGTATTTCCCGGTAGCTCTATTGCTTTATTTGCGATAAAGCTGTTCATTTATTTATTGGTAAATCTGTTCATTTATTCTGTGCATATTTCTGCATATCTATTTATTGGCTTGTCAGTAAATTTATTAATTGATATCAATATTTATTTATTTTTTTATTATAATATTTTAATTTTATTTATTTACCAAACTTAAAGAAAAGTATTTGAATTGAGCGTTAAAAAACGCCGTAACTATAACCACCTTAATTAATTAAGCAGAAAGACGGAGCCTCTATAGATGAGGATGTGCAGAAGGAGGAGAAGCGGTGCTTTTTCATGGCAATAAAAACACTCAAAGAAAGGTTCCGAAGATATAGGGAAAGAAAGGTTTGTGAAAGAGAAGATCTAAAATTGAAAATGTGTACTTCAGTGTGCATCTGGGCACCTGAAAATGTTGAATACGTACTTCAACACTGCAGACCAGAGTGTCTCAAACTTTTACACAGCCGCCACCCACCAAAGCCGCGACCTACCTGACATCTAAACACACACATAATTTAAAAAATAAAACAATTAAGAAAAACAATAAAACAAGTGTAGATGGCAGTTTATTCGTTAAATCCCGCGTTACAAAATTGCAATTTTCAGCTACTCCACGCCTATTATGCGTAGAGGTTAGAACATCTTATTTGCGCGGCTAGATCGTTATTTCTTACAGAAAAATCGCTGCAATAACGTCGGTTGATTTCTCTGTTCAGCTTTTATTGCTGTCGTGGCTCGGAAATAGGTAGTCGCGGTTTTTAAAAATAGTCGGATAACTTTATAAGTCAGAGATGAAAATTTATGGCGGGCCACTTTGAACGTAGCTTGAAAAACACTGTGTAGACTGAATTTGGACAATAGAGAAGCCCTCTGGCCTGTTCCAGTCTCAGTCAGGACACAGCTGTATGGTACACGGCCTCGCGGTGTATAAGGTCTTCTGAAAAGGAAATACGAGACGGAGAGAGAAATCCGTTTCGGTCAGCGTTCATTGAAAAGGCAGCAGCTCTTTGATTGACTGACGTACATGCAGACATTAATTAATTGATTTGATTTGATTCAAGAACCGACATCACAGCACCCGGGGCATTCCCATAAGCGCTCCGTCCCCATCTTCAGCAGCCAGCGAAGAGTTCCGATACTAATGGTGCCAGTAGCATTCTGATTAAACGTCCGTCTTGCCTTTCCTCTGAGCCTCGAGCATCTGCCAGAACCTGTCGTCACTCCCCACTGCGTCACTCCCAGCTGCATTAATTATTGCTCCCACTTGTTGACTAATTAAATAATTCATTAGTTAGTTAATTTATTCACTTGTTTTTTTGTTAAGATGATCTAATTTGCCTATTTATCTATCAGACTCCTAATTTTCTTCTTCTTCTTCTTTTTCTTAAAGTCCATGCCGTGTGACCTTGGTAGTCATGTCTATCTGTCTGGTTTACTTGCATTCAACTCGGACATATATGATCCTCCATGCCATAATGTCAAACTGTCCAGCACCTATTTTCTCGGTCTCCCCCTGCCTCTTCTCCCTTCCAATTGTCCTACTGTCACGACGTACAGTTTTCTCGTCATCACAGGGCCACAGAATGTAGACTGTCTCTTTCTGATGTGGGAAATCAGTTCTCTTCCTGAGTCAGTTTCTTTCAAGACATCTTCATTATTCTTTTTTATCTCTTCGGGGTATTCTCATCATTGGTCTATAAAACTACATCTCTGCAGCGTCCACAAAAGTTGTCACTAATTGACCAACTGTCCATGATCAGCTTGCGTATATCATTACAGGATTTATATAACGTTTTAAGAATTCTCTTTCTTATATCAGTTGACCAAGAAAGATTGCAATTTTATTGAGGAGTTTATTTATTTATTTATTTATTTATTTATTTATTTATGAAACGTCATTTTTTATAAACCACTATCGACTATTTGTCTATCGAGTGCCACAATTTATACACGTGATTTTTGACTATTTTTCCATCAAGCGTCACTATTTATACGTGTGATCATTCACTATTTGTCCATCATGCGGCACTATTTATACATGTGATCATTGACTATTTGTCCATTCAGCGTCACTATTTATAGGTGTGATCATTGACTATTTGTCTATCCTCCTTATCTATAAACATGGCTATCGACTTGTCTATATAATTTTGCTATTCACATGGGACTATTTACTGATATAAATCATATCCTGATATATGGAAGTGAATCAAGGACAGTTGATCGATTAGTGAAAACATTCTTGGAAGCAGCGCCGATTTGGTTTTATTGACGAAGGATGAAAATACCCTGGACAGAAAATGAAGAAAGAAACTGACTCACGAAGAAATCGGACTGTCCATATGAAAATGAGACAATCTACATTCTTTGGTCATGTTATGAGAAGGAGAAAAATGAGACAATCTACTTTCTTTGGTCATGTTATGAGAAGGAGAAAAATGAGACAATCTACTTTCTTTGGTCATGTTATGAGAAGGAGAAAAATGAGACAATCTACTTTCTTTGGTCATGTTATGAGAAGGAGAAAATGAGGAGAGATTCTAGATTACATCGTGACGGTGGGAAAGTTGGAGGGGAATATAGGCAGAGGGAGAGAGAGAGAGAGAGAGAGAGAGAGAGAGAGAGAGAGAGAGAGAGAGAGAGAGAGAGAGAGAGAGAGAGATAGAGAGAGAGAGAGAGCAGATGCTGGACAGTATGACATCATGGTATGGAAGTTCATCTGTGTCAGAACTGACTGAAACTACACGAGACAGAATATTTTAGATAGAAATGACTACCAACGTCATATGACATCGACTTTATAAAGATTTTCTTATGTATCTATCAAACGTTCTTATTAATCCATGACCTCTTTACTTATTTGTCTAACGTCACAGTTTTGTCTCTCAGTAGTAGTACTACACGCTTCAACAGACATTATCGTTGTTACATCTTTACAGCTTTGTTGGAGTCATATTCTGAATTTCTACTTGTAGACAAACCCTGGACAAGTTGCCCATCTCTCTATGACCTCCAATGCAGCAGCGTCAACACCGTGGCCTGTAGGAACAATGTCATCTGAGCGACCGCAGCAGCAGCAGCATCACCACCAACAAAAACAGCACCAGCAGCAACAACCGACGGACGCCAGGTACCTGATCTCACCCTACGACAACAACCACAAACTACGAATGGCTGCAGCAACGGGAGCTTCCTTCCCTTACTTTATGCCTATGACCACCAACATGGGCGACTACACAAACGGACACAGCATGAATCAAGCAGCGGCCATAACTCTAGTATCTCCACCACACGCGTCCTTCTTCTCTGGACTTCAGCTCAACTCGCACGTCATGTCCTCGTCCTTGCTCAAAGGACTCGGGAGAAGCCTGCCCTTGCTGCACGCCGATTTCATGCCCCACCCGGGGGACGTCTACGCCGCTGCACTTCGAGGAGTGGGTCTAGGCATGGTCAGTCCGGAGGCGCTGGATGCAGACGTCAAAGACGAGCCAAAGGCGGAGCTGGAAGGGTTGGATTTGTGGAAGAAGTTTCACAGCATCGGTACCGAGATGGTGATAACCAAGTCTGGCAGGTAAGAAAACAGGCTAGGTGTTTGTGTCCCTTATGTGTAGCGGCTAGACGCCTGCGAATACGAAGGTCTTGGGTTCGGGTCCTGGTTGAGTCAGACTTTAAAAACAAAAATGAACTTGGCTCCTAGGTCGACCCAGTCTAGAGTGGGCACTAGGTAAAGTCCTCAGAAGTAAAGGTGGTCGGCGGGATGTTGACTTCATTACCCACCGAGCGCTGATTGGTCAATCAAATATAGGTTAGGCCTCTTATGCCCAATATACTAGAAGGCGTAGAAAATGGTCCTTTACTGCTACCACTACCGCTGTTTCTGCTGCTATTGCTACTACAACTACTACTGCAACTACAATTGCTATGACTACTACTCGTAAACAATTAACTAATACTACTACTGCTGCAACCTTAATTGCTACAACTACTACTGCAACCACAATTGCTACAACTACTACTGCAACCACAATTGCTACAACTACTACTGCAACCACAATTGCTACAACTACTACTGCAACCACAATTGCTACAACTACTACAGCAACCACAATTGCTACAACTACTACTGCAACCACAATTGCTACAACTACTACTGCAACCACAATTGCTACAACTACTACTGCAACCACAATTGCTACAACTACTACTGCAACCACAATTGCTACAACTACTACTACAACCACAATTGCTACAACTACTACTCTTAAACAATTTACTAATACTACTACTGCTACTATTGGCGTCTGTGGCTTTGGCGTTGGGAACGAGCTTCATAATGCCAGGGTGCCGGGTTCTATCCCAGCTGCGGGCCTTGCGCCGGTTTCGACAGTGGTATCGAGAAGCTGACCACACAGAAAGCAATGGCAAACTATTGGACGTGAATTTACCCAGAAAAACCTGACAGCCAAACAAAATGCTAGGGTTGGTTCTGCAATGGCATGTAAAGGATATAAAACTTACTAACCAACTTCTGCTACTACTACCACGACCACAACCACTTCTACTACTAAGCAATTACTACATCTGCTGCTGCTACTACTACTACCACCACTTCCACGATAGTTATCCCTAAAATCAGTTACCTTGCTGGATACGACTACAACATTTTATGAGTGCCGTTTCGTGGAGAGAAAAAAAAAAAAACACAGAGCTAACGCCGTACAGCCAACAGGGCGCCGCAGAGCGGAAACTAGCTCTTTCTCTAACATGGAGTTGTGAAGCTGCCGCCGTTATGCATTTTGTCGGCGATACACAATAAAGCAGTCACTCAACCATCAGTCCCTTATGGTACACACATCAAACAGCGGCATCTTCCTCCCCCGCCTCTCAAGCCGAGCATCAAACCGTGACGCTCATTTGTCGACCACTCAACACTGCGCGTGCTCCATGAAAGCGGAGCCCGTTCTCTGAACTCACTGACCCAGGTCGACCTACATAATGTGAATAAATATCAAGCAAACAAACAGTAGAACCAGTGAGCATCACTTTATCACCAACACAAACGATAAGTAAACGTTGCGGCTAGAAAGTCGTCATCAGCACATTAGAGAAGTCAACATACCACAATTACAAACAATATATATAGAAAAAAAAAATCACTTAGCTGACGCATTCTCCCTAGAAATCACAAATACTGGCCCGAAAACGCCAAGGGGTGTAACTCAATGATATTAGATAAAACTATGTTGAAATTCGTCCCCTACTTAAAAAGGGCAGGCGACAAGCTGTGTTGTTTACAGCTAGGCTGCTTCTTTTTCTTCACGTTCACCGGCTGTAAACTCCGGGGGACAGTTTTGAATGATGATCCACTTTTGGAGTTTGGTCTCGTTCCAGAACTTGAGTTTTGGGTGAAGAAATTCTAAATTTTCACCAAGATGTTCACCAGTACAAACAAGAATAAACAAAATCCCTCAGCTGGAGTATTCCCGATAGAGATCCCTTTGCATTGTGTATCCTTTCTGCGCCTTTCTCCGAAGGTCCGCCAGTCTGTCCAGTAGATGTTCCGTCGTTCCAATCGTCAGTTTTATTTTGTGCTAATAGAAAAACAAAGAAATACAAGTCCATAGGACGCAGACTTTTTACCAAGATCAATTTGACGGGGATGAGGTTCAGCCTTTATGGTACGACGCCTATACTGCACTGTAGAGACCATGTGCTGCATATATAGCACGATTCCTCTCCCGACCTAACTTGTTAATTCCAAATGAAAAATAACAGCAATAATTTTGAAACAAAGCAGTCTGCAGAAGCTGTCAGATAAATAATGATAAAAATAACTCCCTAAAGTATAAACGAGGAAAAAGATGTTGCTTACAAATGGAGCATATACGGAACTCGGTGAAAAGATGGTAACATTTATAGACATAAACAGAATACATTTAAAGAGAAAAAACTCAATGGAAGAAAAGAAGTACCAATTACAGGCCTAAAGGGAACATATAAAGTCCTCGATGAAAGAAAGGAAGTAGCAATTACAGGCCTAAAGGGAACAGATAAAGTACTCGATGGAAGAAAGGAAGTAGCGATTACAGGCCTAAAGGGAACTAATAAAGTACTCGATGGAAGAAAGGAAGTACCGATTACAGGCCTAAATGGAACAGATAAATTACTTGATGGAAACACAGTAATAAAAATGGAACAAATAAATATATTGGTGATAGTACATTATGTTTATGCATACAAACGGAAAAAATTAAAAAGTCGGTGGAAGCGCGGGAGCATTTATTGTCATAAACAGAACGTAGAACAAAGGAATTCGGTAGAATAAACACGGTATCATTTATAGACATAAATGGAAAAGATAAAAACATAACAGAAGGAACGGAAAAAAAATTAAATAAAAGGAAATAAATTAAGATATAAAGTATTCCATAGAAAAGACTCAGTATCATTTACATATATGAATGGAAAACAAACAGAAATAACTCAAAAAAAAAAAAGAAACGCAGTATTATTTACATATATAAACAGAAAACGTAGAGAAAGAATTCAATAGAAGAAACACAGTAACATTTACGGATATAAAGAAAACACTTAAAGAAAGAACTCGACGGAAGAAATGCAGTACCATTTATAGGCAAGAACTTGTGAGTGAAGTTCAACCCCACTAGGACCGCACAACAAGCGAATAGCAATCAGTGACACAAAGTGCCACCATTCGGATGAGAATCGCCCGGGCACAGGTCCCAGAAACCCCGTTCAATCGTTAGGTTATTTTAGGCTCTAGGCCTTCTCCTCCCCCGACTACAGCCGGGGAGGAGCTTTGAAATAACGACAAATTGCTTCACACGTTGGGACGGCCCCCGTGTGGGTTCCGGGGCCCCATTGTGGGGGAAAACAAGAATAGACCCACTGCCTCCCCAAAAGCATGTAGAAAGAGTCGACTAATTGGGGAGCTTCCTTTGAAGTCGGAGTGCATCTGCCGGAGAGGCAAGGAACCAACAGTCTGTATTCAAGAGAATGAGATCTGTAAAACTGATGCACACGCAACACTCAGGTTCTGGAGCAGGACTGCAGTTCAGTAGTGGACGAGCAACCAGAACTTTCCGCCAGAGTGTACAGCTGGTGAACGCGAAGAAGAAGAAGAAGATTGGGACGCCAATGTATAGACAGAAACTTAATACATAAAGAAAAAAAAACTCAATGCAAACACAGTAACATTTATAGACATTCATACAATACATAAAGAAGAAACACAGTAACATTTATAGACATTCATACAATACATAAAGAAGAAACACAGTAACATTTATAGACATTCATACAATACATAAAGAAGAAAACACAGTAACATTTATAGACATTCATACAATACATAAAGAAGAAACACAGTAACATTTATAGACATTCATACAATACATAAAGAAGAAACACAGTAACATTTATAGACATTCATACAATACATAAAGAAGAAACACAGTAACATTTATAGACATTCATACAATACATAAAGAAGAAACACTTTCTACCCAACCAGGACATCACACAAGCGATAAACACCCGATGACACAATGTGTATCCATGTTGATAAGGTCCCAGAAACCGTGTTCAGCCATTAGGCCATATTTATGGCCTGGCTATATTGCGGGTCGGCTCTGTGGCTAAGTCAATGCGGACGCTTCGTAATGCCGGGATCGATTCCAGGTCCGGGGCACGCGCCTTGAGTTGGTTACGTCAGTAGTATCAAGAAAGCCGACGGCCCAAAAAGCAATAGCAAACTACTGGACGTAGATTTGCCTAGAAAAACCACACAACAGCCAGGGGATGTTAAGGTTGGTTCTGCAACGTCCTGTAAATGATACGCAACTAACCTATATTGCGACCCCCGGCAAAAGCCATGGTGGGGTTTCAAATAACGAAAAATGTTATCCTAAAAAGGACGGTGAACCGTAACATTTATACACATAGACACAAAATACAACGAATAAACACAGTAACATTTATATACATAAACATAACACAAAGAAAAAAGACAGTAACATTTATAGACATAAACATAACACATAAAGAGGATAGACAGTAAAATTTATAGACATGTATTCAAAAAGATAGCCAGAAAACAGAACATGATTGGCGTCTCTATTCTCAAATACGCATCTATGACATGGCGGAACTGACACTTTTGTTTCAGTGCCTTTCCCCGCATGGCTGAAAGTGAGAGCCTCAATGTTGTTCCCTCCCTTGAATCAAGGTCCACTACTCACGGGGAAGAGAGTCGGATCGCAGTTATCTGCCGTTTGCTATGAGTTGGTTGTAGCGCCATATTGATTAATGCCGCCATCTTGTTATAATGAACTGCTCTTGTGCAGGGCAGAAGTTCAGATCCCAAGAGGCATCCACAGCTCAGTGCTGAGCTGAGCACAGCCATGAGTGGAGATGTTTCTGATAACTGCAACGGTTTCAGGCTAATATCGGTAGTTCCCAGTTCATATCGCCTCATCATATCGACCCAGTGTGTGATTAAAGACTTACTTTTGTAGCAGAACAGGTCGCCTGGTTTTCATTACAGTAATG